TAAATTTATTTTAATTAAAAATATATATATCATATATGTGATTTTTTAAATTAAAAAAAGATTTAAAAAGATTACTGGTGAAATTTATTTTAATTAAAAATAATATATTTTATAATTTTTTTTATTTTTTTAGTTTAAAAAATCAATGACAAAATATATTTCCGGATTTTTTTCACTATTTTACCACTTTATCGTTCAAAATATGAATRTTCATTGGGGTTTTTTCCCGATTTTTTTCACTATTTTACCACTTTATCATTCAAAATATGAATGTTCATTCGGGTTTTTTCGGGATTTTTTTCACTATTTTACCACTTTAACTAGTTGTACAAGTCATAAGAATGTATCCAACATGTTTTATAAAAGTTCAAGAAGTTATTTAACATGTTTTGGATTGTTCAAGGACTTATTTGTTCCAAAAATTGTCCAAAGAGTTATTTAACATTTTTTGGAATGTCCAAGGACTTAATTGTCTAATGACTTATTTAACACATTTTGGAATGTTCAATGACTTATTTGTTCCAAAAAATTGTCCAATGACTTATTTAACATGTTTTGGAATGTCCAAAGACTTATTTGTTCCAAAAAAAGTCCAATGACTTAATCATTCCAAATAAGAAAGTTTATTGGTTTTTACTGTACTTTTCCCTATTTTTTATAGTTTGTTAAAATTAAGTTTAAGTTACTTTATGGGGTCTTTTTAAATATATTAGTATTTCGTGTAGGATATTTTTATGAAATATGTTTTAAGCACATCTCTTATGTACGACACTTGATTTTTATAAAACATTTTTTTAAATAATGTCATATAAAAAATTACATCCTTGAAAATTACTACTTTTTTGAATGGTTTTATCTCTAACATTTTTTTTGTATGAAAAAATCATTAAATATTCTCATTTTGGATAATTAAGGACCTGACATTTTTTTTAATATCTAAACCATTGAATTAAAAAAAAATTTGATTACCTATATTTTTTTAGAAAGCTGTTTAAAATCGGCTACGAAGATTTTAAAGGAAAAAAAATTAATCGGTTTTATCGTTTCCAATTCTACCATTCAAACCCCTCGTCGCCATGGTCATTACTCTCTTGCCCTTCACTGTTGTTGGCCCTTGTCATCGATCTCACAATTTTTTTTGTTTTTTTGTCTCCATTTTTTTAATATGTCTATGTGTGCTCCATTAAATTGTTATAAAAAAGATAGAATCGAAAGAAAAGAAACAAATTAAAAAGAGGGAGACTGTTGGTAGAGGGCCAATAGCTGCAATGGACTGTAGAGAGAGTGTACGAGTAGGAGTGGTGAGGAGGGTGATGTTATTGTGTACTAAGGGTTTGAATGGTGTAGTGTTTGGGAATGGTAAACTAATTTATTTATTTTACTTTAAAACATTGCTAAGCAGATACTTGTAACTTTTTGGCTTAAAATAATGTAGGTGAACAATAACCAATTTTTAAAAGTTTGATAGTTTATTTATTCAATAAATGTTCAGGGACTTAACCAGTTGCATTTTTAGGAGTTGGGTCCTTAGTGCACCCATAAGACCCAGGTTAATTTATTTAGGGACTTAAATCATCAAAAAGCTTCAACCATAGAGACCCAACTCATCAAAGAAAATGCAACCAGGGATGTAAATCGTTAAAAAACACAACCACAAAAACACGTTCCAAATCCCTTTGAGCAAGAATTTTGAACTTCTTTAAAAGTTTCTGATACATCTAACTAATTTTCCATTTTGTATTGCAATTCATTCAGGTGTTAGCATAAGCATGGGTGTACTTCTTCTTGTGGCAATAAGCTATGTATTGTACAAAGTGATCAAGAAAACAAAAGCAAGGAGAAGGAGAAAGAGGTTCTTTAAACGTAATGGTGGTTTACTTCTAAAACAACAAGAGGAAGCTGACCCCTCTTTCTTTGATAAAACCATACTTTTTACATCACGTGAGTTGGAGAAGGCCACAGACTATTTCAACGAGAATAGAATTCTTGGTCGAGGAGGTCAAGGTACGGTCTACAAAGGTATGTTAATAGACGGAAGAATTGTGGCGGTGAAGAAATCGAAGGTAGTTGATGAAAGCCAATTAGAGCAGTTCATCAATGAGGTGGTCATTCTTTCGCAAGTCAATCATCGCAACGTGGTCAAACTATTGGGATGTTGCTTGGAGACGGAAGTCCCTCTACTTGTTTCTGAATTCATTTCAAATGGGACCTTGTATGATCATCTTCACAATGAGACCAATGACTCCCCAGTTTCTTTGAACATGAGATTGCAAATTGCTACAGAGGTTGCAGGAGCCGTTGCTTACTTGCATTCAGCAACTTCCGTTCCAATATACCACAGGGACATCAAAACCACTAATATACTTTTGGATGATAAACACAGAGCCAAAGTTTCTGACTTTGGAACTTCAAGGTTCGTATCATTGGATCAAACTCATCTCACTACCTTAGTCAAAGGTACATTTGGTTACCTAGATCCTGAGTACTTCCAATCTAGTCAGTTCACTGAAAAGAGTGATGTTTATAGTTTTGGAGTTGTCTTGGTTGAACTCATGACGGGTGAGATGCCGATTTCCCTGACTCGATTTGGTGAAAACAGAAGCTTGGCTACACACTTTATGTTGGCTATGGAAGAAGGTCGTGTCATGTCTATTATTGATGCAATGGTTATTAAGGAGGGTACGAGGGATGAGATATTGGCAGTAACTAACCTCGCAATGCGATGCTTGAATTTGAGTGGAAAAAATAGGCCAACAATGAAAGAAGTTGTTGTAGAGTTGGAAACCATACGAGTGTCTCATGTTCCCTCGATGGTTCAAACAAACTCCCAACAAGTGATGCAGGCAATGGAATTACACATGATAACGTATGGTGAGTCAACGTCAACGTTCATGAGTGTTGATGACGAATTTAGTCAATAATGCAAAAAGGTCATTTGTATCATTGCTTAATTAAGTGACATTGTGGTATGTGTAGTTCATTACAACAACATTGGCAGATATAATTGTCAATGCACCTGTTAGTTGCTATATAAGAGTTGCAACTGGGTCAGGGGTTTGGGTATTTTGTTTTGTAAATCTAACCTCTTGAATGTTAGGGGGTGTTCTAATTAAAGCATTAGGTTTATTTCAAAAGCATTTGCTAATTGATTCCAGTTTAGAAAGGGGTGGAATATTGTATTGTATTGTTGATGAGTAATATTATAGTATTCAAAAATTGTAACTCTTACCTGGTGAGTTAGAGTTACTTTGATTTATTTATTAACTTATGCTACTATTAAAAACAACATATATATTTTCTAAATATAGACCACTAGTTTCTAATTAAGTTATTTATAATGCTAAAGTTTAGAATGGAGTTGCGTTGTACTGGACAATGGTCATATCATACAATTATCGTTCAAAGGTGGAAAATAATGGTGTATATTGGCGACATAACCTTTCAATCTTTTCCGTCAACATTAGATAGTGACAAGTTTGAATGGCTCAATCTACATTTTACTCTTTTTTAAAAGTATACTGATGTTTACCAAATGCTTACTCAGGTAAGCGTTTACCAAATCACATTACCTTATTGGATGAATATGACAACGACCAAAAATCTTATCATGTAAGAACGAGGCAAGGACTGAAAGTTTTACCCGGTAAGTGAGAGCAACGACTCTTACCATGGTCAGCGCTTACCGGTTAATTTGTTGCATATGAAGTCGTTTTTGAAAATATTTGGGATATCTTATTTTCAGTGTATGGAGTACAAGAGAGGCAAATATATATATATATATATACACACACACACACACAAATACAACGAACTAACCAAAAATGAAAGAGAAAGAAGGGGATAAGTATGGAATGGATTTGGTTTCCAATACTCCCCCTCAAGATGGAGCATGAAGATCACGAACGCCCATCTTGCCTAAAAGAAAGTGGAAGCGTTCAACTCCAAGAGCTTTGGTGAAGATGTCTGCCACCTAATGCTTTGTGTCTATGTATAAGGGTTCTATCTCGTTAGACTCGACTCTTTCACGTATGAAGTAATAATCCATTTCTACATGTTTGGTGAGTTCGTGAAAAAATAGGTTATTTGCGATTTGTCAGGTTGCATTGTTGTCACAGTATAGTGGTGTGGGTCCAACAGGGGCAGCCTTAAGGTCGTGTAAAAGCCAACGCAACCATAGGATCTCACTCACAGTAGTAGCCATGGCGCGATATTCAGCTTCGGCCGACGATCTAGAGACAACTGACTGCTTCTTTGTTTGCCAAGATACCAGAGCTCCTCCTAAGAAAATCAAATAACCGGTGCGGGAGCGTCGCATGAAGGAGCAACCCAACCAGTCAGCATCACAGAAAGCCTTAAGGCTCATATCACCGTCTTTAGGTAGGAGAATTCCTTGGCCAAGGGTCGATTTCAAGTAGCGTAACACTCTAATGGCAGAATCCATATGTCTTTGACGTGGGTTTGCCAAGAATTGACCGAGTATATTGATAGCAAAAGCAATGTCCGGACGCGTTACTTGCAAATACAACAGTCTCCCAATCAATCGTCGATATTGTACAGCATCAACTGGTGGACTATCGATGGCTTCGTCCAGATGGAGATTTTGCTCCATTGGGGAGGGGTTGGGCCGACAACCTTGCTGACCACTATCTTTCAAAATATCTAACGTGTATTTCCGTTGGCTCAACACTAGTCCCTCATTAGTTATTGGTCTTCAAAAAACCGAAAATCTTTTGTCAATTCACGTCATGCTTATTAAATGGCAACACATTTGATCAATACATGTGTTACGGACATTGAGGTTATTCATCATCTACAATTTACCTACATATTAATTTTGGTAAATAAAAATTAAAAATTTACAAGTTAAAACTAAATTATCAAAATTTCAAGAGTTATAAATACAAACGGTAAACTATCAATGATGAAATATTTTTTTAATGATACAGAACTAAAAAAGTTATAACTAAAATCTATTTCATAAATACATTAAATGAGTGTTAAGGGTGTTGTTGATATGATACTATAATCTATCAAGACCATCATATGTGATGCTAAATCATATACGTAGACAATCTTTGGCTCGAGCTAAGTCGTAAAACACGTCGTCTGCATATCACATGGTCCCCTCACGCGTATTATCACATATGATAACTCGCGTTTATGGAGGTGCTCTCGTTTGAACCTCCACCTATATGTGTGTGTGAGAATCATGTATAAGAATTTATTTTTGTATAAATATATATATACACATGCATATAAACAAGTTCAAACGAAAACGCTAACTATTAAGAAAACAAGAAAAATTATGTAAATCTAAATTTAGATATCGATGGGAACTTGGGCCCCTCAAGGTCCAGCCAGCCCAGCCCAGATCATCTTGAAACTGTCCATGTCCAGCCGAATTGCAAATGCCCAATACCTCACGGCTCGCGAGTCGCCACTTGCGAGTCACGATTACACAAAATCGAAGTGAAGAGGCGAAGAGCATCGCCCCAACGGCCACCACAACCTTCAATTCTCATTGACGAAGCCACGAAGGGATTTCATTAAGATCATCAAAAGGTATTTCAACTTCAAGTTTTCAATTTTAGTTATTCATTCTTCAAGTTTCAGCTTGGGTTTTCGCTAGGGCAATGTGTATTACGTAGAATGAAATTAGAAAACTTAGCAAGTATAAAACATGTTTGTGAATTGCGACGTGTGGAACATGTTCTCAACTATATATTCTTCAATCTTCAGCCATTCTGCTGTAAACTTTTTCTCCAACTTTATATTCTTAAATCATTCTGCTGTAAAGTGTAAAACATGTTTGGATGCGATAGATTCTAGGTCAAAACTCAAAACTTGAACACTCTAAGTCCCTGTAAAAGTGTCTGCGAATTGTGGTGCCCGTAAATCATCGAATGTGAGTTTTTTCTTGGGTAGAAAGCTTAGGAAAAAGCAATGGGCAAAAGGGTTTTTCGATCTTTTGGGTTTTTCAAATGTTGACTAGGAAATCTCTAGTCCTCTACACGTTTTCATGGTTAGGAAATCAAAAGGGACAATCTTGCATATTGGAAATGATTAAGGATTTAGGGCAAAAGGGATATGGAAATGATAATTTTCAGGCCTTTATGTAGAAGTTCATCTCAACATCTTGTTTTATGGTGTGAGACTGGTGCAATTCTGTATAAAGATCCATTGTTGGCATAAAATTCTTGTTGCTGTTCTTTTAGCAATGCTATTATGTCATTTGTGGACAAAGCCCCTTTCTAGTATAGTCGACACATCCAACTTATAATTATGGCTCACATTGAATTGAATTATTCTACGGTGCACCAAATGCTTAACATCTACAATACCCAGTTTCTTCAAAGATAGCTTCTAATCCACTAAATTGACATTCTTTTTTTTATCTTAAGACTTTGATGAACAATGCCTGAACTTTGAAGATTTAGTGTTTATCGTCCTGACGTAGAGAACTTTAGCTGGTGCCCTTTTGTGCTTTTTTAAAATATATATTTAAACACTCAACTATTTGTATAAAATGTCAGTTTTGGCCCCATGGTTATGATCCCATGTTCTGCCCCTGATTGCTTACCAAAATGTCCAAAGAATAGTTCAAGACTCGTAAGCATATAAATGGTCAAAAAGTCTCCTAACGTAGTCATGTAATGTACTTGCTTAGTTTACTGCATAAAATCTCTTGGTTCTTGTCAGATTGATATCAAGATGCTATCTTTCTATGCTTCCCTTTTGTTAACTTCATGGTAATTAAAATTATATCGAATTTTGGGTTCTTAGTATGTTACTCTTTTCCTTTTCGTTTTCCTTTTCATTTTTGCATTGGTAGACATGGCCTCTCTTGATCAACTCAACCTAAGGGTTTTTGAAGTAAAATTTTCCGCAGTTAACGGATTGGTGTGTTTGGCCTAACTTTTTGGAGTATCGTCTTTTTTCTTCTGTTTTATTCTCGATATATAGCCCATTGAGGTTTCTACTTAATTGTTGCCTTGGTCTTTCTCCACTGGTTTTTACAATTTAGGTAGTTATTTGTTTAATATTTGGCTATAACTTCTATTTAAAATAAGATCAGTGAAGGCTCTCTGAAGATGCAAAGCTGTATAAGTTCTTTAATTCATCGTCATCCACCATGTCTTGTAACAAATAGAACGCTCCCATATGTTTAAACCAAACCAAATCAAACAAACCCAGAAAATCTCACTCGGAAAAGGGTGTCTCATATGTTTATATGTGGGTATGGTGCAGCTTACTACGTTCAGAAATTTGATTTGTTCTGTTAATTTTATTTTTGCTAATGGAGATGATTGAGAGTCTGAACTCTTTGATTGCTAGATTTGGATGTTTGACATTGAAATTTGAATTTGGTGTTTGGATTTTCACTGTCAAATGCAAATATCACTTCAAACAATTTGATTCGATTAAAAAATGTAGAATTTTGTTCAAGGACTCGGATGTTGTTTGTGAAACTTTTGACCAAATAGATTCTACTTTTTTGTTAATCATTTGACAACATTGCAGAAACTGCTGCTACTTCTACAATGCAATTGGAGGAAAAGATAGCATCTGGGGACGAATCAAACCCCTGCATTAGCAAGTCCACTCGCCTTCCACGGAAGCGCTTTTACCGGGCTCGAGCTCATAGCAACCCGTTAAGTGATTCCCATTTCCCAGTCCCAATCTCCCCTCATCATGTAGAATACTCCGTTCACTATCCTCACTTCTTCCCATCATCTGATTCTCCACCTGACTCCAAAAAGATCGAATTTGCCGATGTCGGATGTGGTTTCGGAGGCCTGCTAATCAGTCTTGCAACACTTTTCCCTGAAACACTAATGATTGGAATGGAACTTAGGGACAAGGTGACAGAATACGTTAAAGAACGTATTCTAGCTCTACGTGTTGCGAATCCGGGTCAGTACCAAAACGTATCCGTTGTTAGAACCAATTCCATGAAATACATCCCAAATTATTTCGAAAAATCACAGCTTTCGAAGATGTTTTTCTTGTTCCCCGATCCTCACTTTAAAGAAAAGAACCACCGTCGGCGTGTTATTAGCCCATTTTTGCTAGACGAATATGCTTACGCTATTAGAGCCGGTGGGATTATATACACCATCACCGATGTGGAAGAGCTCGGAGACTGGATGAAGTCTTGTTTGGAGAATCATCCGCTGTTTGCAGCGCTCACAGAAGAAGAACTCGAAGCCGATCCAGTGGTGAAACTGTTGAGTTCTGCGACCGAGGAAGGACAGAAAGTGTCGAGAAACGGAGGGCAGACTTTTAAAGCGGTTTTCAGGCGTATTGTCCCTTCCGTTTGATGGCAACAATCGAAGCTCTTTTCTTGATTTTAGATTGCAACTTATGGTGACAATCTGTTGGCATTTCTAGAGAAAAATACCAGGCTTTAGGTTTATGTAATACCAAATGTCATATTTCTTTTTTCAGATGGTTTGTGTTCTTAAATTACTATCTTACCCTTTAGACCCTATCGTACATGGGTTTGTTTAGTTTGGTTTTTAATACGGTTCATTTTGTTGCTTCAAACGGTTCTTTTAGAAACCTAAAATTTAGCAACCCGGGGATTGTTTACGGGAAAACACAATATGGATGTGTTATTTATAAATTATGATGAACGTGTGATTTATGATGGATAAGACTTTCATATTCATTATGAATGTGCTATTCATGATGAATATTCATCCTGAAGAGGGACATGTTATGATGTGCTGTGGATGGTTTCCGGGCTTTTAAAATTCTATTGGAACTTCCCCCGATGTCACACAGTTTTGTATAGTTTAGGTTTCATTCGTCAAGATGTTAATTATTTTGCAGTCATTTTCATCCTTAAATCAACTAAAATATGAAAGCAAATTCAATAACGTAAACCCTTTCTTGTTATGCCCATCGTATCGCTATTCCAAGCAATATAAGGAATTTAAAAAAATTCAATGCCAACAATATTCAAATATATATAGAGAGAGAGATCGAGGAGGTTTACTTTGCAAACCATGTTATTTGTACAAACCTCATTCAATCAATCATAGTTTTTCATTTTATTCATTTTTTTAATTATGAGAGGTTGATTAATCATTTTTATTGCGGACGGTGCTAATCATGGATATTATCATCTTCATTATTTTAATTTTAGTTAAATATATGAAACACTTTCATTAAGTATTATATGAAACAATTTCATAACCATATATGAAACAACTTCATCAAAAAAAAGTATTATATGAAACAATTTCACGAAAAAAAATTTCATAAGATTAAACATATGGAATGGATGAGGTTGGTTTACACAGTTTATACAAATGAGGTGATTTGCATTTGATCTCTTCTCTATATCTATCTAAATATATCTATTTATATATAAAAGATGCTAAGAATATTCGAATATATATGCAAAAGATGCTTTTACCATCAGGTGAGCTCAATACGATTTCAAGAGGTTGACTTGTTAATTATTTTCATGTTTGATGGTAACCCATTTCATTAATATTTTACACATGTATATGTAGGGTTGGTCCATCTCGTAACAAAGTAAAAAGGAAAACTTCATACAAGTATAATCGAAAAACATGACAATGTGCTACCCATAAACTAGGTGGTCGTCCTACGATTAGTCGGCTCGCATAATGAATTGAATATCCAAGTTATTATTATATTATTTATATATAATAATATTATTTAAATACTTTTTGCTTTTATACTATACTTCCACAATATTATCTATACTATCTTATTAAGCAAATTTAGCAAAAGTCTTAAAGTCTTAAAATAAATGACCAAGATACCCTTACATTACTTTTTTACTTTTTCACCCCCTCCTCTCCTCACATACACTCACACTGAATAGATTTTTTAAAATTATAATTTTAAAATTACATTTTATACCCTTATAATTAGTTAATTAATTTACTTTATGTCTTTTACTTTTAAATGTTTCATTTTAAACCTTTATTAAATTAACATACATAATCGTATATYAATTAAAACATGTTTAAAAAATACATTTTTATTTTAACAAGTTACACCATTATAATCGTCTCGTTAATACCTTCGAAATGAGTCCAATATTAAATAGTTTTTGAC